GGTGGATCTGTTCCCACTAAGGAGTAGTGAGTGGGTGAGTTTAGTTTAACGCCGCTTTTAGCAATATTCCAGCAGTATCAAGACGGGGAAAACTAGAAATGGGCGTTACTCATTGTACCTATGGAACTTAGAGGAACAAGGCCTACTTGGCGGTGGATCTGGACCTATTAGTAGGACCAGGACTTTCTAGAATGTGATAGTTGTGAGCTGCACGCTGGATATCAGTTCTTAAGACTTCCTACAGTCTGTATATATAGTGAATGAGGGAGTTCGGTTTAACGCTTCTAGGAACAATTTTCTATTTTCATAATGTGTCAGCTTCAAGTGTGAAGAATGCCCTTAGTGATGCACGTTTACCAGTCTGGATAAAAGAGAAATGCTGACAACATACATTACAGTTTGAGACAAAATCAAATAGACATAAAAGAATCAAACCAACGCGGAGTGCAATAAAAACAACAGACCAACTCTAGAAAAACATTGCATAATTTGCGGCACAAATATAAAAAGGTTGTTTAAGAAACTGTCACAATTTATTTATTGCAATTCATCGGTATCATTTTGTCTGAAACGGACTGTACAACAAATGCGAATCACAATAATCGGACCCGTGAAGATCCGGGTTAGAATTGGTCTTCAGTAACCCATGCTTGTCGTAAGAGGCGACTAACGGGATCGGGTGGTCAGACGCGCTGGCTTGGTTGACATGTCGTCAGTTCACAATTGCGCAGATCGATGCTCATGCTGTTGATCACTGGATTGTCTGGTCCAGACTCGATTATTTACAGACCGCCGCCATATAGCTGGAATATTGCTGAATGCGGCGTAAAACTAGACTCACTCACTCATGCACAATAATCGGGGTCTGGCCTGCCAAAGGGACATAACTCCGCGAAGTCTAAGACAAATGGACCAACCGTGCCCCAAAATTCCATAATGAAACTTCTAGCAAGTAAATATATATAATTCAAGTCCATTATAGTCCCTACCAGCCCCCATATCTAGCAGAGTAGCCAGGGCAAGCTTACTCTGGTGATGTTAGGAGGAATCCCTAGAAACCTGTTAAGCATTCAGAAGCGTAGATTATATAATTTGGCTTGACCGTACAGGTATTTTGTACAGTCAAGAGATATAACAATTTTACGTGCGCATCAGAGACATTTAAACTGTTCGTGGGTTAGAATTCCGGTGTGCCACGGTTATATGCCCGGGTATGTCAGTTTCACACCAGTTCTGGGTCTCATCAAAGGCCAGCAAGAGTCCGTCTCTCCTCTCTTGACGTGACGTGACGTGACGTGACGTGAAAACCGTGGTACATCGTTTGGTTTGGTTGTTGTTTAACGCCGCACTCTGCAATATTCCAGCTATATGGCGGCGGTCTGTAAATTTATAATAGAGTCTGGACCAGATAATCCAGTGATTATCATCATCAGCATCGGTCTACGCATATGGGATACGATGACATGTATCAAACAAGTCAGCGAGCCCAACCACCGGATCCCTCCTATCGCGTCTTAGCATGGGTTGCTGAGCATCAATTCTAACCCGGATCTTCACGGGTCTTTGGTACAGGGGTATTAGCAAACCAATATGTAGAAAACCACAGAAACTTGGGGTTCAATCTTCACAGACCTTGAAAATATCAAATAACAAATTCCGTTTGTATTCACATGAACAGATGACTTGACTCTGCTACTACAAGTACTTTGCTGAAGTTTAAGTGTCATGTGCAACAGTTATAGCGCTTCTATGTATTCAGTGTTTTTTATGTAATGTGAAAAGGTTTTCTGTCATTCTTTTTGTAATATGTGTTTCTAAATAATATCATATGCGCACGAAAGAACAGTCGTTACGATACACGTCCACAGAATACATCAATGTATGATTGAGAACAGCTTGCCAGTAAAAAAGTATGTTTAACTTTACATGTAAAATTATGTTTCTAAAAATGACACTTTTGCAAGTTTGGCTGTTTACAGAAAACGGGTGAGTGAGTGAGTTTAGTTTTACGCCGCACTCAGCAAACCCCAGCTATATGGCGGCGGTCTGTAAATAATCGAGTCTGGAACAGACAATCCAGTGATCAACAGCATGAGCATAAATCTGCGCAACTGGGAACCGATGACATGTGTCAACAAAGTCAGCGAAACTGACCACCCGATCCTGTTAGTCGCCTCTTACGACAAGCATAGTCGCCTTTTATGGCAAGCACATGGGTTGCTGAAGACCTATTCTACCCCGGATCTTCACCGGTCCAGAAAACGGGTGTAACGTGTTGTTTTATAATTTTATCCATTTGCACCGACCATGAGGTTTAGTTCGTACGCTAGGACTAACAACTGATTTGTATTGTGCCCTTAGAACCAAAATGTAGTACCTAACATACGCTTAGATGAAGTAATGAAATTTATAGTAAAGCTTAAATGAAAATTATTATACTTGTAAATGTAGGCCTGTAATGAAACCGTAATATTATGTGGGCGGTGGGGTAGCCCAGTGGTTAAAGCGTTCGCTCGTCACGCCGAATACCGGGTTCGATTCCCCACATGGGTACAATGTGTGAAGCCCATTTCTGGTGTCCCCCGCCGTGATATTGCTGAAAGCGGCGTAAAGCAAAACTCACTCTCTCACTAATACGTTATGTTTTAGGGCGTGATCACCATTCCACTGTATCGGGATCACCATGTCCAGCAACAACCATGTTAACCTCATGCGTATAGTTTTGTAGTTTTTATTTGTTTTGGGTTTTAGTTCACAATGGCGTTGGCAGCTCTGATGTGTTTGTTTCAGAGTCAAGTTATCCTTGACCTAACCGGTCGGTTAGCTCAGGCTGAAACTAAGCAATCGCACGTACTGAACGTGTATGCACGTACACGAAGAAGCGGCCGTAAAATCAGGGGCATAGCCCTGCTCGTAACACAACTTTACAACTTGACGCTTTTGTTGTTGAAACGCCCGCAGTGTTCGAACTGGCATCGAATGTTTTGCAGAAGTGTAACAGTCGGACTCGGCCCCGATGTCACATGACTGCACATTGTGAAAGTAATTATTTTCAAATATTTGCAGAATTCTTGAACCCTTAAAATCTATAATAAATTACATGATATTGTGGCACGTTATGTTACCAATTACGACGTTCGTATTAAATTGATCAGATGAACTTTTATTGTGCAAAATTAACAAACAGATAAACCTATATACTCTACCCCAAAAGTAGTGGACATTTGATACCAGCAGGTTGTAGAGATGGTAATGGATGGATCACTTGCCAATAATTCATCCACCTCATAAGACGGCGATCTGTAATTAATCTAGTCGTGTGATACGATGACATGTGTCAACCACTCGATCCCGTTAGTACCCTCTTACGACTAGAATGGGTTGCTGAAGACCAATTCTAACCCGGATCTTCACAGGTCCAAAGCGTTGCAACACTTTGTCGCCCGGATTTATGACTGCACTGGACTATCGTTTTTGACGGGATAGCTCAACCAGTTTATGACAAAATAGGAAAGAAAACTTAAAGGCCTCCGCATCATAACTCCCTAACCTTCCCCCACCCACACCACCCCACCCCCATCTCCAATTAAAAAATTTAAGGGGGTGACAACCATTATTGGCATGAATATATTTGAATGAAAATATAATAATGAGAATGTTCTGACCTCAATGGAAACTAATAGAATTTTGTCTGTGTTGGTACCAAACATCTTCTTCACACATTAAGACAGTTCTACGTCTGAATACATCGATAAGAATGATAGAAGGCAACGTAGTATCAGTGAATCCGTCACACTGGAGGACATCATTCAATATAAACTGACCAGTTTTCTTTCCATGATGCGACAGCTCCATGTAAACACCATTAATGCTGTTTATAAGGCGTGTATAACAAAAAATGTAGATCTGGATCTAATGGAAATCGCAGCTGTTTTATGTGGGATAAGAAATACATGACCGTGTGCCAACAGAGTCTGAATTGCATCTCATCGCTGTACCGTCTTAAGATCCGGGTACAATTACCCGTCATGATTCTACAGAAACCTGTTTCACATATAATGCAAAAAACAGGATTAGGTGCCCAGGCTCGTTGACTGACTGACTGACTGAGTTTGGTTTTACGCCGCTTTTAGCAATATTCAAGCAACATCACGGCGGGGGACACCAGAAATGGGCTTTACACATTGCACCCATGTGGGGATTCGAACCCGGGTCTTCGGCGTGGCGAGCCAACGCTTTAACCACTAGGCTACCCCACCGCCCCCCAGGCTCGTTGACTGGGTTTTTGCATGTCATCGCATTACATGTGTAGCGGGGTTGAAGGATAGCCTAATGGTTAAAGCGTCCGCTCGTCACTTTGAAGATCTGGGTTCGATTCCCCACATGGGTACAATGTGTGAAGCCCATTTCTGGTGTCCCCCCGCCGTGCTATTGCTATAATGATGCTAAAAGCGGCGTAAAATCCAACTCACTCACCCACTTCATGTGTAGATCGATGGTCATGTTGTCATTCACTGGATTGTGTGGTCCAGATTAGATTGTTTACATGCTCAAGTCATACAGGTGGAATATGCGGTGATAAACGAAAGAGAAAAAATACTGTACTCTCCAAAATCATAGACGTTTTTTCAGCGTTACTTTACGCCTTGCGTTAGTCTATGAACAGTGGCTGGTGTGTGTAACCTCTTCCTGAAGCAGTTCTTGATAATAGGGCATAAAACACCATGTGGCGCCGCAGTTCGTCGTACGCAGTCGTCCTTAACTTGCCAAACCAATATCCGATAAAAAGAGTGTGAGTGAGAGAGTGAGTGAGTTGGGTTTTATCAATGTTCCAGCAATATCACCAGAAACGGGCTTCACACATTGCGCCTATGTGGGGAATCAAACCCGGGTCTTCGGCGTGACGAGCGAACGCTTTAACCACTAGGCTACTCCACCAACCCCCGATAAAAAGCAGTTGTTGACTCAGCTTTGCTAGGTATAATTCAATACACAAACAATTAATTTACTATTATTTATTTCTTGAGAAAATTTACATATATTTGCAAACTCGTATTCTTTGCAAACACATATGAACATAATAATAACTGCAAAATAATAACAACACGATAGAAAGTACAACAGAATATCTCGTCAGTAGATATTGACTATATAACCACGGTAGGACGCACACCCAGATTTCTAGACGAATGTGTTCAACTCGGTACCTACTACAGACTGTACCAAGAGAAAAGCAAATTCCAAAGAATTGAAAATGGCCTCTCTGGGTTCTCAGAATAGATCACTTAACGTCTACCAGTGTAACGACGAATGGTTCACCTGTAGAATAATGCGTCCCGTGTTTTGGAACCAGTCACCGTTTTTCATGCAAGATCAGACATTGTTGTATATTTTTTTATTTGGCTTGCGGTCCATAATGACGTCATTTTTCGTGGGCACCAACTTCCGTTGGGAGAGCTTTTATAAACATTGTTTTACAACGCCCGCTTTCCTCTACAGAGACGAACTGTGAGTAAACATTGCCTTTCTGAAGAGGCACCACGAGGAACTGGTCTACAAAACCATGAACATAGACATGTAACCGGTTCATGTTCGGGATTGAAAGAAATGTAACAAATGATTGGTTAGAATTTCTTAAATTATGTCAGAGGAGAGGTCAATTACATTTCTGGGATGAAATTTTAATAAAATGCATTTCTCATCTTGTACCTTAATGCGTAATATCATGTGTGACTTGTGAACAAGCGTTTGTGTCCACGTCTAAAGCTGAAAGTGCTACAGATAACATCACCGCCATAACATAACACGCACGATGAATCATGTCATTTTCACACATAAAAAAGGTCGCGGACAACATGTTGAAGAAGATCTTCAACATTTCTCTGTAACATAAGTGTTTATAATGGTTGCCGCCCACAGCGGGATGTTGTGTGTCTGTGTGGCGGGGATAATACTGGTCCTGGGTCCCGATCCCAAAGTGTTCGTAAAGTTACGACATGTCGTAACCCCATAGTATATCACAGGCTTACGAATGTCGTAGCGTTACGAACGTTTCGTGGATCAGGGTCCTGATCTACAAAGCGTTCGTAACGTTACGGCATGTCGTAACTCCATAGTATATCACAGGCTTACGAATGTCGTAGCGTTACGAACGTTTCGTGGATCAGGGTCCAGGGGCCCGATCCACAAAGCGTTCGTAACGTTACGGCATGTCGTAACTCTATAGCTTACCATAGGGTTACGAATGTCGTAGCGCTACGAACGCTTTGTGGTTCGGGGCCCAGGATCCTGGTGGTAGGACCCGTTCACCAAAACGACATCATTCCATTATTACAATAGTTTAATGATTACGATTGTCAACAATGCCTAAAAATCACGAGGATCTAACCCATTCAATGTATAACTTAGTTTGTCGTAACTGGCATACCTTAACATATACTTATCTATAAATACCTTATTTGTACCACATAAACAGCGCCTGTGGAACGGAATCAAGGGTCGGGTTGCACAAAGCGTTCTTAAAATGATCTCTTAGACGGTCGTAAGTTCAATCATACTTTAAACTTGCTTTGTGAAAACAGACCCTTCAACATTTTTGAAATAGCTCAGGTACGGCAACCGACGCCTTCGTGTAACATGTACGTTCCTTAGACTCCAAGATCCATTTATACAAAGCGAATGTCGTAAATCTTTGTCAGCTTACGCGAGTTATGATCGTCTAAATGCTGAGATCCCTTTGTGGTATTGTTCACAGGGTAGCTGAAACAGACCTCGCGGAGGGACAACCATTATAACCAGACTTGATTAACGAAACAATATACACGTTGAACGTAAACAGACCACGAAAACAATCGTTGTAGTACAGAAACAAAATCATGTATACATGTACACCAACTCGACTGAATATGAAATTTCCTCGTGATCCGGATTATACCGAGACAGTGACCGTGACCTGATGACGTCACAGAGGAGTAAACCTGGAGACAAGTCGGGAGAATCCCAATAAAAAAACATCACAAATCAACAACTCCGTTGATTGCCTTTGAACAAGCTCTCGTTTTATATAATAACCCATAATTTTCGGGATAAGACAAATCAAACTTGTTTGGGTAATCTCCCCTGAACACTGAACTCTTCACATCGCAGTCCTCCTTGCACCAGTTTACCATATGCGCATCCTGTCAGGATACGAAGCGTTATCAATGAAACGTTCCCAATCGTTGTAACATTAACATACTATAACCTGACGATGCAGCACGATACCTGTAGCATTCTGCAAAGGTTTGGAAGAAGTTAGTCAAAGAAAACGACTCTAGATACTTATATATTGTTGCAAACGTAGCCAAACCGCTGGGAAATTTCCAATCCATCTTTTGTAAAATATATCCCGTACACAAGGCTCAAACTTTCTTTCTCGTTCTCGCCATTCTCAGATCTATCTGTTCCGGTCGTCACCCGCTGACAACCAGTTATCGAAGCGAGATAGTTGAGTTCTTCTCTCCAACGTTTCTTCTCAGCCCATCCTGTTAAATCCGCCGTGTTCATCATAATCATCATCATAGTCATAATCATTCTTCGAGTCGTCATTTCCAGCACGTAAAACCTGCATCAGCCAAACTGCTGTTGGCACGTTCTGGCATCCGTAGAAGTCTCGACGTAGTTCACGTGGCGTAAACGGCGGTCGGACGTTACACGGGGCACCAAATATGGTGGTCCTGACTTGATTGTGGCGACCTTCGCCGAGTTGAGGGGACGAGTGCTTGATCGCGTTACGGCTTTGCTGCAAGAAGAAGTAAATACTAATAAGCGTGAACAGCATAATCATTTTACGAGTAATACATATGACCAATGCTATCTTAATTTACCTCCCTTAGCCGCTGAACGTCTGTTCGAATCCCAAATTTACCCCACTAGTGAGTGAGTATAGTTTTACGCCGCACTCAGCAATATTCCAGCTATATGGTGGCGGTCTGTAAATAATCGAGTATGGACCAGACAATCCAGTGATCAATAGGATGAGCATCGATCTACGCAATTGGGAACCGATGACATGTGTCAACAAAGTCAGCGAGCCTGACCACCGGGTCCCTTAAGACAAGCATGGGTTACTGAAGATCAATTTTAACCCGGATCTTCACGGGTCATCCTTAAGGAACGCCATATCCGTGCTCGTGGTTTAACCAATGTGGTATGTATGTGTGAAATGGGCCTCGTTCAGCAAGACGACGTGAGTGCTACGTTCATCGTATGTGTATGCTAAAGTATGTCAGTCCAATCGTCTTATCGACGAGGATGCTTTGTGAAACAGGGCCCTGTATCCTTTTGAGCTTTCCAGCCATACAAGTTGACACACCCCGATGTTCCCGAATGCTTACGAAGTCACATTTTCACAAACGCTCGCAAGCACGTACGCATGCACGGACGCACGCACTCACTCTCAGGCAGTAGCCTGATATAAAGACTTGGTTTGTTGTTTAATGCAGTACTCAGCAATATTCCAGTTATATAGTGGCGGTCTGTAAATATTCGAGGCTAAACCAGACAATCCAGTGATCAACATCATGCGCATCGATCTACGCTATCGGGATACGATGACATGTGTCAACCAAGTCAGTGAACCTGATCACCCGATCCCGTTAGTCGCCTCTTACGACAAGCATGGGTTGCTGAAGATCAATTCAAGGATCTGGCTAGACACTAACCTGGTGGATATCAGCAGTGCACATCCGAGTGTGGTTACTTCCGGTCCAGTGCCTGGTATATTCGTCATCAAATGAATATTCATTACCACGTCCACTGGTAAATACAATTACGTTTCGGTGTTCCGGAGATTTACGAAGTGCGTAGGCGATTTCACCCGAGTAGCTCTGATCGACGATGAGATGGACGCTCTTGGCTGCACAGTCAGCCAGGTCTTCCTTCAGTTCATCGACCGTATACCGCTCGTTGCTGTCAGCCTGCGGAACATACAAACTCATGTGAGATAACAATAAACAGATTCGGTAAAGTCACAAACCAAATTCTTCTTTTAGGCTGGGGGGACACACGACTGTATATGTGGGGTGGGGATGAGGGAGTGGCGTGTCAAACGTGGTAAGTATTTGTGCTTCAAACTGTTGAAATTAAAGACATTTAACTGACCTCTTTACATCTACCAGTGGCTATGTGTTTTCTGTGCATAAAGTCAGTTGTGTCTTTAAAAACGCAAAGTTAAGTAAGTTAACTTAGCACTTCACAACATTCTCATGTTTCATTTAACTTGTATACACTTGAAATAAAGTTAAATGACCGGGCCAGTTTGCCATAAGGTTTGAAAACAACTGAAGATGGCTCCAAACCAATGTCATTAAAACCAAAATGAGTGAGTGAGTGAGTATGGTTTTACGCCGCTTCTAGCAATATTCCAGCAACATCACGGCGGGGGACACCAGAAATGGGCTTCACACATTGTAACCATGTGGGGAATCGAACCCGGGCCTTCGGTGTGACGAGCGAACGCTTTAACCACAAGGCTACCCTACCGCCCCTTGAAACCAAAACGCGCTATTTCCTATAAGAGTCATTTATTGTCGATGAATAAGGACAGAAGCAGGACACAGGAGTTACAATGGTATAGGTTAATATTTCACTGTGAGACAAACAAACAGACAGTTTATGCAATTAAAAAAGGCCATAGCCCCGTAATACAAGCAATGTTTGGTTGCATGAATCGCGTTAGGAAGTTATTGATTAAGTTTCTCTGAGCTTCTTTGAGTGGCATTTAGAAGTTGGTGTGATGAACGTTTCGCTGTATCTACTATAACACCGTTAGTAGTTGTATATCCATAGAACGCTCCCCGTTGTTACTCTGAGCTGTTGGACTTTATCTAAATATAGACATATGCTGTATACAGTATTAACGTTTCAACAATTTCGATAACGGATTTTACTCTGTAACATATTTCATTCTAAATAATGCTGGTAAGTGATTCACATGGAAACTTGTGCAGGATGTTCTAGACACTTGGGAGCAGATTCTGTGTCTTGGACGCCTTGATTTCAAGAATGTGTTATAACGGGTTGAGATATGGTCCCGATGGTGTTCTGCGTGGAGGCTGTCCCCTGTCGAACGCGATGTGCTCTAGACACTTGGGAGCAGATTCTGTGTCTTGGACGCCTTGATTTCAAGAATGTGTTATAACGGGTTGAGATATGGTCCCGATGGTGTTCTGCGTGGAGGCTGTCCCCTGTCGAACGCGATGTGCTCTAGACACTTGGGAGCAGATTCTGTGTCTTGACGCCTTGATTTCAAGAATGTGTTATAACGGGTTGAGATATGGTCCCGATGGTGTTCTGCGTGGAGGCTGTCCCCTGTCGAACGCGATGTGATTTCGCATCATTGTCTAAGTAGACAGCAGGCCGTTATCAAGATGTTCCACAATGGAATCCAGGATTTGACGTCTGTCACTATCTTGCAGTCATGGACAAGGAGTTCCAACATCTGGACTGATCTTCCACCACTGCGGGGCGAATGTTCTTGGCGTGTGTGTAATGTTTCTTTGTCACCAAGCCCGAATACTCCAATCTGTGACCCGCAAACAGAACCTGTTCTCATCTGACGAGTGGATCATCTTCCACAGGCTTTGGTACCGACCCGTAAATATCCGGGTTAGAATTGCTCTTTACCAGCCATGTGTTCCGTAAAAGGCGCCGAAAGGGATCGGGTGGTCAGGCTCGCTGACTTGGTTGACACATGTCATCGTATCCCAATTGCGTAGATCGATATTCATGATGTTCATCACTGGATTGTCTGGCCCAGGCTCGGTTATTGACAGACCGCCGCCACATAGCTGAAATATTGCTGAGTGCGGCGTTAAACAACCAACCAACCAACCAACCAACCCTTTGGTACCTCTCGCCAGACACGATGCCAAACGGTCCCTGTGATGACGATGACAGCAAAGAACGCTTGATCACCCCTCTAGACCTGAGTCAATCTGTCAATGATGACAACTGCCTCTGGGGCATCCAGAATGACAGTGGCTTGTGGCAAAGGACTGTCGTCTTACTCAGCGGAGCTGATCCCGATCTTCGGCTGCTGGCGTCACACATGGCCAGACGCTGGACGGTCCTTCAGCTTATTACTTTTCTGTGGCAATCTTCTTACCCAACCCGATGGTGGTAACCGAACAAACAACCAAGAGCAATGCAGGACATTCCTGCGTGAATCATGCCCATTATTCACCTTTCAGATAATCCCCTACTAACCTGGGCCCAGTTTCACAAAGCTCTCGCAGCTCTACGACTGTCGTAAGTCAATGTTACAGTATAGGAGGTATAGGAATGCTACGAGGAAAGCTACGAGATCTTAGGCTTACGGGAGCTTTGTGAAACGGGCCCCAGGACCATAAGAATAAAGACTAGAGATTACAATAATTCAAGTTGTACTTGGATTAAGAGTCGAGAGTTACATCATAGCTGTGTACATGTATAACAAACTACTCGTATCGTTGCCAAAACGATTTTACCATTCGCTACAATGATTAAACTTTAAGAGGGCGCTTAATATATTTCAAGGTCACTTTCTGTATATCCAAGTACACTATACTTTCGCAAAAGCGTTCTCATGCCTAAACGTATAAAATCCCAGCTGATATTTCAAAGCATTAGGATCCTGTTTTTTTAAATCTTTAATCATCCTACGAACTAAAGAACCTTCGAAAGATACCTATCTTCAGTCTAAAGTGGATTTTGAGTGACTTTCCAGACACCATCTGAATAAATACCATCAGGCTACGCCAATCAAAAGTGTACGATAATAGTCATTAAAAATCACATGCAACAACATGAGTCGAAAGTCTTTTATTAGTACCCATTTCCGCAAAAGTGAAATTCTTTTATCTGATAATTTCTCAATGGATTAGCAACCGTGGGCAATATATATTATTAGGCCGTAAGATGGATCAATTAGGAATGTCTGCCAAAACCCATAACCTTGGAGTCGATTCAGAGCTCCGCCATGTTACAGTGAGGGTTATTTCCGTTGGTGGCAAATATATATTTTGCAGTCGCGTCAAAAACGAAATTTATTTCTTTGAAAGGAAGCGCCAAGCAATTAATTTACATCACATTAATTATGTTCAAGAGATCCGACATTATGCACGTTTTGTGCAAATAGGCAAGATCCGAGGACAACGCATTTTGTTTCATTTTCTTCTGTGGTTTTGACCCCTCACTTGCGAGGGTCCACAGCTCAAAGGTGTTGGGAGGTTGTGGACTTCGGGAACCAAGTGAAATATTCCGATCTGACCAACACCAAATGCTTCACTCTTGTCGATTTTGATTCGTCCTTGTTAAGAAGTCGGCACTGATCATTTATTGTAGGGAAGTTGGGTAAAGGTGAGGGTGGTCTTGGAAAAATAGTTATGATGACAACAACTACTTTTATTCTCCGCTGACAACAAGCTATCCATTTTGGCATATTTCTGAAGATATTTTTCATTCAACACATCTTCCCCCCCTCCCGACAGAAATGAAATGTAGCAGTAATAGTCCGCTCATATCCAGACACATTGCCTGCTCACGGTGCTACGTACATTACTATCCCCGGTCATAGGACACTATCGTACTTTCCGATAATTTTTTCAACTCCCTGGGGATCATACAGCCATGCTTCCTGTGAGGCGCAATGAACTAAACACTCACATTACCAGCACATCCTCACGGGTACCCATTTTACAGTTGGGTGAACTGAGACAATGTGGATCTAAGTATCTTGTCCAAGGATACTACGCAAATGTGCCCACCTCGGGACCGAACCGAGGTGCCTCCGTTATAGAATAACTCAAGAGCTACGATGATGTTACGATTTCAATTATTGAATATTGCAATGTGTTATGCTGTTAATCCTGTGATCCCGAATTTTTTAGGAGGGCCATATATTCCGTAATTACAAATTGGAGGAGGTTGCTCTGTATTTTCCTCGTGACATTTTAAAAGTGAAAATAACTAAAGACGTATCTGATGTCAACCATTGTTCTGACGTCATAAATTATCGTATTTTTCTTAACAATTAAACAATGTGACGTGATATGGCGTCAAGGGGCGGTGGGGTAGCCTAGTGGTTAAAGCGTTCGCTCGTCGAGCCGAAGACCCGGGTTCGATTCCCCCACAATGTGTGAAGCCAATATCTGGTGTCCACTGCCGTGATTTTTCTGGAATATTGCTCAAAGCGGCGTGAAATCCAACTCACTCACTCACTCACTATGGCTTCAAATGAAAATCCGCATTGGGAAGCTTACCAAACCATCGTTGTTGACGTCCCACAGATACGACGTGCCATCGTTCCGTGCCGGGTTGTTCATGTAGATGACGAGAGAGTCGACGCAGTGACGAGACATGCACATCTTCCGGATGTGGTAGCGGAAGGCGTGTTTCATGGCCGCCGGATGTACCCGTTGCGGGGGGTCACCGGGAACTATGGGTAAGAAGTGACAAGAAACGATAAAATGAAGCACACACACAAACAAACAAAACAAAACGAAACAAACACAAAACAAAAAGCAATATATATATACACCACAAAAAGTACAACACACAAGTACGATAGGCAGTTTGGAGTCAGTGAGTTTAGTTTTACGCCGCACTCAGCAATATTCCAGCTATATGGCGGCGGTCTGTAAATAATCGAGTCTGGACCAGACAATCCAGTGATCAACAGCATGAGCATCGATCTACGCAATTGGGAACCGATGACATGTGCCAACCAAGTCAGCGAGCCTGACCACCCGATCCCATTAGTCGCCTCTTACGACAAACCAATATTCTAACCCGGACCTTCACGGGTGGCAGTTTGGATAAACTATCCCCATCCAGACATTTAAGTTCATCGCTTCTCCCTACTCGTGAAGATCCGGGTTAGAATTGATCTTCTGCCACCCATGCTTGTTGTAAGATGCGACTAAGGGGATCGGGTGGTCAGGCTTGCTAATTTGGTTGACATATGTCGTCGGTTCCCAATTGCGTAGAACAATGCTCATGCTGTTGATCACCGGATTATCTGGTCCAGACTCGATTACTTACCGACCGCCGCCATATAGCTGGAATATTGCTGAGTACGGCGTAAAACTAAACTCACTCTCCCTCAGACTGAACATTTTCGGAATATTTACCGACATTGTAAGGGCTTAGTTTACTGGTTCATATTTCTAGACTCAAACTTCCCAAAAATTTATTGAATGATTTTCGTGAAAGAAAACCCCATTTTGGTAGCACCCTTCGTTCATTAAAATATATTAACCTATCAACTGAATATTTCATACAAATCAGACACATAGTTTCCCATTCTTTGTGTAGTCAGTAGCCATTTTGACCACCCAATCACCAATAGTCAATTGTCACATAATGTCTGTCACACTCTGTCCTTTCTTCAACTCTATTAGGGGGGCGGTGGAGTAGCCTAATGGTTAAAGCGTTGGCTCGTCACGCCGAAGACCCGGGTTCGAATCCCCACATGGGTACAATGTGTGAAGCCCATTTCTGGTGTCCCCCGCCGTGATGTTGCTGGAATATTGCTAAAAGCGGCGTAAAACCAAACTCAGTCAGTCAGTCAGTCAGTCAGTCAACTCTATTAGGAAAACATCTGGTATCGTCGCCTTTGATGGTCTACTACAGTGCACCCTGGTTATACATACAGTACATAAATGATATTCATGTAGTCCGAATACACAATCGACTCTGTTTTCAGGATTGATGTCTTATGAATACTGAATGCGTTTCGTCTCTTTTATCAAGTTTTAGTTACATTATTTTCAACCTTCTAAGCGTGTTTAAGAATATTCCATTTTCACCTTTTTTTTCCTTTTGAGATAACAGTATCCCTCTCGTGTTTGAAAACATTGTTCTCATGAGAAATAAAGATGAAAACGTTTTTTTGATATCAAATAACTAACAAAACTCTGTCAGTCTTTATCTCAAAGCCACCTTTTTAAAGATATGTAACCCAAAAAATATATTTAGGAATCCAACCGTTTGAACAACACAACTGGAATGACGTTCTCTTAGACCCAGTCACTCTCACCTACATATTTCTGTCTTTCAAAGAGAGGTCATTTTTCAAGATTAATATCACTTTGACACATTCGTATATAATCAGGCTTGCTAGAAACTCAGTGTCTGAAAAAAAAGCCTGGGAAAAAGTTTGAGAGTCGGAGCCTGTGTAAAAAGTGTCTAGCGCAAAGAGTCATAACAATAGTTCCGGAACAGATGTTATCATTTACCAGTTCCCCATTGTCCGATCGGGGAACTCACCTTTAGATGCCGGACCGAAATACCAGGTATTTGAATGAAAATCTCTTTGATGTACCGCATTGCCAATTACGCATCGACTTGACCTACTTAGAGTTTATGGAAGTAAGATAGGTAAATACATATGTATGTGAATCTCGGAGTAAGGGTTTAGGCTTCGCCGTTCGTTGGTTTCAAGCCTTCTGTGAAATTTTACGCTATAAATCATGTCAGTGAAGAGGTGTTTTTCTCGTAAAATATGAATTATGTCTCATTAGTACATGATATATGAGATCCGAAGATATTATGCTATACGCGTGTGTAAATTTATACGGATACATTTCGTTTTAGGAATGAAGCATGCTTTTGGAAATTCGTGTTTTGTTTTTGATCTAAAAGAAGCAAGATAATGTGAAACGGAAAAAGACAGGAAATATATCTCAAGCACGGATCAATAAAACGTGATCGTATAATCTATGTTTGCGCTATATAAAAAAGGGGAAATGGCGCAAAATGGAATTACGAAAAAACGAACAGAGAGCGGACGTTGCTTGCGGCTTAATAAATTCCACATTGGATAATTAACCTATGACATTTAACAACGTTTCAATCTCCAATGCTATATACCAAGTTTCCGTATTGTCGAATGTGTGTGATTGTAAGATAATTGTCAATTGGTAGTCAGCGCTTTAATGCAGTGCAAAAAACAGGTGTCTTTGTCGATAAAAACGCAAGAGTAAAAAGTTAGCATCTTTGAGTCATAAAAATACATACATATATTCAAGATCATTGCCAGATAGTTTATCATCACATTATTCTGAAACTTGTTCTCTACGTTTAAAGTATCCTTCAGATGTGACAGACTGCAATACAATGAGAAATACTGAAATACCTCCTTTGAACTTGGAGGTTACCTTATCTTTAGCGAGTAACACGACCAGTATTTACATGAAGTGAAAGGGTTTGTTTCAAAAGTTTTTTATATTAATAATACCTCCACCAGTAATCGGAAATCGGGAATGGGTTCAGTAAAAGTAGATTCTTGACCAGTGTGCGAAATAGCCACTGGCCCGCTCGCCGTGGCTAGTAAAAATCCAGTCGGATTAGTAAATCTCCAAGGTTACTGGCCCGATTGGCTAGTGAATATTCATGGGGTCATTTTGTAAATATATCATTCTCTCCGACTTGTTAAGTTATAATACACATTAAAATCATGCAAGATTATGACCTGATAAAATGTTCATCATATTAGCAGATTAATGATGAAATCCGTGTCATGCTGACAATATCTTATTCTCATCTATTTTTGTAATCTTTTGCTTAGTTTTTTTTATTCAAATTTCGGGCTAGTGAATTATTTTGTGGGCTAGTAACTTTCAGGCATAGCTAGCCCGACTGGCTAGCAAAATTTGGAAACTATTTCGCACACTGCTCTTGACAAATCAGTCTTCGTTGCAATTCCATATATGACTTAAGCACGAACGCGTATTAAGTTTTTCGCATAAAACAACTTCTGTATACAGGTCATCGTCTTTCTGCGCTGCATAAAACCAGGGAGACTATAATGTTGTAGATTATCCCTGATAAAACGTTATATTAGAAATTAATTTTTTAATTACGGTACTTACTTTGTAAAGATGGCGATCCATTGGCGAAAAACACTTTAATATTTCTTCTCTTAAATCCATTATTTCTGAGCATTTTAAAAACAAGTTCCACGTTCATTTTATGCCTTTTACCGGTGCTTTGTCTATTCCAACCACCTGACAAAATGACCGCCTGGTCACAAATTTCAAGGGGGCGACAACTGCTCTTAACAGTTTCATGTGTTGTGGAGCATCTCCTCGTATTGTCACGGAGATGGTTGCAGATTAAACCCGTGGTCTCGTTCAGTAATCTCAATTCAGGACATCCGCCAAAGCCGGCAAGTCCAGAATAACATTTTAAATGATTGTGGCGTGCCGCCATGTAATGTCCGCCATGTTGGTTATTGGCCCGATGCACCACGGGAAGGAAGTTAATCTCACACCGTCTTGCAAAGTTCCGTCTTCTAGAACGTCTTTCTAAGGCATTCTTGCATCTCCGCCTTAAGGCTAAACTTATGCATTCTCCTTTATCTGGAAAATAAATATGAAAACATAAATATTACATAAATAAAAAGGATACAGAACAACACTGGAGCTGGTAATATTACCCAGAACTACTTAAGAACACCCACAGTTGGAAGGCTTCGTGTACCCAAATGCCATGACAGGTTAGCGATGTTCAGAGTGAGTGAGCGTTGGTCAGAGTGAGTGAGTGAAGTGTTACGCCGCTTTAAGCAATATTCCAGCAATGTGCAAACCGCGGGGACACGCGAAAGCTTCTTACATTGTACCCGTGTGGGGAATCAAACCCGGGTCTTAGGCGTGAAGAGCCAACGCTTTCACTACAGCTAGCCCGCCGCTCCTGGTCACAGAGTGAGTGAGTGATTACGGTTATACGCGTCTTTCAGCAATATTCCAGCAATATCACGGCGGGGGATACCAGAAATACCAGAAATGGGCTTCACACATTGTACCCATGTGGGGAATCGAACCCGGAGCTTATGCGTGACGAGCGAACGCTTTCACCACATGGCTATTCCGTGGTGTTCGACTCTAGGGATTCTGTTCTTGGACATTGTCAGATATCTTCTTTCATTCTTGCTAAATACAGGAGAACCGCGTTATCTCGGACTCTTTTATCTCGACATATCGGTTATGTCGACGTAACATTTCGTGATGTAACCTTCAGCAGCAATATGATCGAATATTGGTTGTCTCGACTTACATGACAAATACTTTAAATACCTAGAACTTCGACTTGTCGTTGCTTTTTAATACATCTTATATCTTACGCTGACATAAAATATATTTTACATTTGCATTATGAAATAATTTCATGTTACACAGATCGCTGAGGACAGTATAAGTTATCACATCGTGTCGAGGGAAATACGGGGTTTTATCAGTCCCTCAGGTAGGGACGGTGGGGTGTCTAGTGGTTAAAGCGTTGGCTCGTCGCGCCGAAGACCGGGTTCGAATCCCCACATGAGTACAAGTGAAGCCCGTTTCTGGTGTCCCCGCCGTGATATTGCTGGATTAAAAGCAACTAAACTGCAGCTTAGTCAGCCCCTCGGTGGTATGCACATCAAATGAAACACCGAAAACGACAAGGGTTGTTATAAGTTAACGCCCTTAATGCACGTGCATTTGTTTCACTGTTCCAACTACTGCGCTTATCCCCTTGTAATACAAACCAGTAATAGCGATTTGAATCTATGATCGTTTGTTCGTCAACTTTTATCCTAATTTGAATAAAATTTTGAGATTTAAATGTTCAATTGGCAAGGTAAAATTATTAGGATTCGCAATCTTAATTTTACTTTATTTGATTTACATTTTTGTTTAAAGTGAAATTCATCGGTACATTTTCACTGCAAACAGACTATACCTTCCGTTCAACCTTTTAAGTAGGAACTTGGAAGGATACTTACAGGCAACCTTAACTCCGCAAATATGACTGGTTATTTGATGTAAAACTGATATGTGTGATCCTGAATATATGCTACCAGTCATATACCAGAATATAATGGAATACATGGTACAAATCGGAATAGGGATTAGCGCTGGAGGTGTCACTGATGCATCAAATGTCTTCCGTTTGTCTACAATAAAACATTTCCAAAGGTTGATCTAACAACTTTTGAGCAAATGTCGAATTACGCTCCATGAAATCTTTGTAGAAAGAGCATGTTCGATAATACATCAAAAGTTTTTGTATGTAGACGCTAAACCTGCAGGAATATTCCTCCACGGAAATGGAAAGTTGACTACTTAACATATGGAGTCATTTCTCTTATCATCCTTCGCCTGGATGGGTTTTAGATGTAAATATGAAACAGGTAGGATAGTTTCTCGTGTATCTTTGATTTCCAGCTCAGGTGTCAGACCATCCATATACCAGAAGCTTAGTTAACTTTTTGGCCAAATTCATATTTTATTTTGCCAATTTAAGCAGAAATGTGGACTCGTATGCATAACGAAATAGTTCAACAACATTGACATATATTCCAGAGATTAGCGTTTGACAATGAACTGCATCCGAAGGATTAACGACACAAATTCAACGCCAATGGCGACACCCGTTCAAGGGAGTGACAACAGTCAGATGCGTAGGCGAATAAACCCATGGTTTTCTAACACCATAGGGTATTAAACATCGTTTACAAGTAATTCCCCCCATTTCATTAACATCACCCTCCCTGCAGTCATTAAAAGATGGCGCGAGATACCACCGTCAATTCTCGCGAGAACGAGATCTCGCCCTGAGCAAAAGAAAATGGCGGCGCTCTGTGTGTTGAGAGATTGCCGTGACTTAGCGTCGTTTTGAGTGTAAATGTATTGGCGTGTGTGGTCTATGTTACCCTCTGTAGGAGCAGTGTAAGCGTGTTTATTTGCTACATGGGCGATCGTCGATAAGCCCCGGGCGTACAGAGATACGCGGTGGGTCTACACTCCTAGGACGAATGTTGAAATCGTTCAAACTTGTATTTACATGGATTAGGACTGGAATCGATTTTTATGTCAGAATATATAATCGTAATATAATTTCATATCTTTCAGTTGAATGATAATTGCTTCTACGCGACGTGTGGGATCATACATAGATCTATGAATTAAACATTTATGATTATGAGATTTATGACGTAAACAGAATAACGTCTCCAAATCTTTGCTCTTCGTGTTTTCAAACAATTTATCCTTTTAAAACAACCAAATAAACGTATGTCTTGAATTTCTACATAATAAAACTGTTAAAAGGAAACAAACATTGGAAGAAGGTACTTTTGACAAATACGAATTGAAAAAGTACAGTGGGTTGAAAATATTCACGGATATTTGTAATCTTTCGTCCCTTTTCAGTGGTATTTAAATGTATTGGTATTAGTTGATTACTCGATTGTAACATTCAAACAGAATGTACCTTTGGAGTCTGGCCTAGACATGATAGAGGCGATCGTGTTCGGAAATAGACACATTTGAATAATGAGTGGACTAATACGTAGTATCTAAATATATATAAGTTTGACATTAACAATTATAACCATTTAAATTGAAAAGGAGCCCCAGTGAGAAGGAAGATCCTGAGGAAAACTAGACTTGCTTCATTTAGAGCTTAAGCATTGCAGCAAGGGCTTGGCAGCAGGGAAAATAATGAGGTTCAGGGACTGGGAGACAGACCAAATAATGAATTGCGTTATGGTTTCGTAAATTTAAAATGAATGGGTCACTGACATCCAGTGACGGAACCATGTCCTTGTTTCACACCAGTAGACAATGCCCTTGTTTCACATTCCTTTTCGTTGTACATAAATGTCAGTAGACAATGCCCTTGTTTCACAGACTGTTTCGCCGTACAATAAACATAGCATAAGTATCCCTGTTACATACAGGTGAACACTAGTATTGATATTTAAATATCTCTGTTACATAAAAATGAACAATAGTATTAATATATCAGTATCTCTCTTACATACAGGTGAACAATTTTATTGATATTTAAATATCTCTGTTACGTATAGGTGAACAATAGTATTGACATTTTAGTAACTCTGTTACATACAGGTGAACAATAGCATTGACAGTTAAGTAACTCTGTTACATACAGGTGAACAATAGTATTGGCATTTAAGTAACTCTGTTACATACAGGTGAACAATTGTATTGATATGAAAGTATCCCTGTTACGTATAGGTGAACAATTGTATTGATATGTAAGTATCCCTGTTACAAACAGGTGAACAATTGTATTGATATGTAAGTATCCCTGTTACAAACAGGTGAACAATTGTATTGATATGTAAGTATCTCTGTTACATACAGGTGAACAATTGTAATGATATGAAAGTATCCCTGTTACAAACAGGTGAACAATTGTATTGATATGTAAGTATCCCTGCTACAAACAGGTGAACAATTGTATTGATATTTAAATATCTCTGTTTCGTACAGGTGAACAATTGTATTGATGTTTAAGTATCTCTGATACATACAGGTGAACAATTGTATTGATGTTTAAGTATCTCTGATACATACAGGTGAACAATTGTATTGATATTTATATATCTCTGTTACGTATAGGTGAACAATTGTATTGATATTTAAGTATCTCTGATACATACAGGTAAACACTAGTATTGATATTTATATATCTCTGTTACGTATAGGTGAACAATTGTATTGATATTTAAGTATCTCTGATACATACAGGTGAACAATAGTATTGATATTTATATATCTCTGTTACGTATAGGTGAACAATTGTATTGATATTTATATATCTCTGTTACGTATCCCTGTTACAAACAGGTGAACAATTGTATTGTATTGATGTTTAAGTACCTCTGATTTATAGTATTATCTCTGATACATACAGGTGAACAATAGTATTGATATTTATATATCACTGTTACGTATAGGTGAACAATTGTATTGATATTTAAGCATCTCTTTATGATATGAAAGTAGTATCCCTGTTACAAACAGGTGAACAATTGTATTGATATTTATATATCTCTGTTACGTATAGGTGAACAATTGTATTGATGTTTAAGTACATACAGGTGAACACTAGTATTGGTATTTAAACACGTATAGGTAGTTGTATTGATGATATCTTTACATAACACTAGTATTGATATTTATATATCTCTGATACGTATAGGTGAACAATTGTATTGATGTTTAAGTATCTCTGATACATACAGGTAAACACTAGTATTGATATTTATATATCACTGTTACGTATAGGTGAACAATTGTATTGATGTTTAAGTATCTCTGATACATACAGGTAAACACTAGTATTGATATTTATATATCACTGTTACGTATAGGTGAACAATTGTATTTACATTTATGTATCCCTGTGATATACAGATGAACAATGGTATTGACATTTAAATAACTCTGTTACACACAGGCGAATAAATAATAGTGTAGAATCTTTAGTATCTATGTTACATACAGGAGAATAATAATACGGACATTTACATATCTCTCTTTCATACAGGTGAATCATTATATTGAATCTT